ACAGAATACTTGACCCCTCCTGTCCTCTTGCCCAGATAACTCCCTGATAACTTCAAACAGATTTTTAAAAATATGTCTTTTCTAGTTTTTCTCAGTAGGAGGTTTGTTCTGCAGCAAGCTAGACTACAAATAACCAAGGCAGAAACTGTTCTTCTTTAATCAAGATTGCCAAAAGTTTGCCTAATTTGTTCCTCTTCTCTAAGGAAGAGCAACCTATAGTCTAACATTTTACCATTATAAAGTTTTGCTGCCAATATTCGTTTTCTTTATAATCTAATCTGTGTATTAAAAATTAGTACTCAGATAATACTTTATTTTACAACATGGACTTGGATAAAGAAGAAACTATTGAGACAAAAAAAAGAAGTACAATAGGAAATTACAGCCAGGGTAATTAAGATCTCTAAGACCACAGGTCTCTAAGAAGGGTTTAAAAGTAGTATTGAAGAGAGCATTATTGCATAGCAAAGTCGCTAGCTTTATATAAGAAAAGCAAGAATCAAGAGTTTATCCCAAAAGCATAGTAAAAGGAACAATTTTCCTTCTGCTTCTACTGGACTAACCATCAAAAAAAAAGTTATTATTGATTATCATTCCTGTTCTCCACTACCTTCTCTTTTTTTAAAAGTAAATTCTGGCATTACAGTTCCAAGTTTCTGCTAATGAATAATCATGTCAGTTGTCACTCAATTATCACCTTCAGCATTTAATCTAAATTATGTACAGCACCTTGTTTTTTTCTTTCTTTGAAGTTCTTCAATGAATTTAAAAGTCAAATTTTTTTTTTCCAAGAAGAGTAAGTTGATGGAAGATGGAGGCTGAGATTAAATCAGGGGGAATCATTGATCAAGGATGCTTGGAATTCTTATGAATACAAATAGCCTATCAAGGTTAATGAGGTTCAACTCAAGTTTAGAAAGAAGAGAAAAATGCACTTAGTTATTTTCTATGCATATACAGATTTAAGGTCTTAGGTACAATTTGAAAGGTAAATTATGCAAACTCAAATATAGCTTCCCTTTGGGTTTTTTATAAGCTATTTTCACCGGCTTTCCCCAGTGTAAAACAACTGCTTAAAATATATATTCTGGATCAACAAAAACAAACGCAATTAGTGAGAAAGAGCAAAGGTCCCCTTGAATACTGACAACTCTTCCAGAAATTAATGTGCTTTTAAGGAATGACTGGACAACAAAAGTTAGCTTTAAAAAAAATCATGGGGCCGGCCCAGCGGCGCAAACGGTTAAGTGCGCGTGCTCCGCTGCAGCGGCCCAGGGTTCGCAGGTTAGGATCCCGGTCGTCCACCGACGCACCACTTGTCAAGCCATGCTGTGGCGACGTCCCATATAAAGTAGAGGAAGATGGCCACGGATGTTAGCCTAGGGCCAGTCTTCCTCAGCAAAAAAGAGGAGGATTGGCATCGGATGTGAGCTCAGGGCTGGTATTCCTCAAAAAAAAAAAAAATCATAAAAATGTTCTACAATATATTATTTCAGTCAACAAATATTAATTGAGTGTCTAATATGGGTAAGACATTGTCGGGGGTACAAAGGGATACAGAGCTAAGACCTGGTTCTTAACCTGTACTCCTTTATGATCTGAGAAGGATATAAGTCTTTAATTCATAAGTGGCTCCCAGAATGCCACAAGTTGGAATTATAACATCAATGCATCCTGGTAAATGGCCCAGAGCCAAATCTGTGCAGAGCAACATATCAGAAGAAAATGTAAACAGAAAGTTGAGCATCAGAGAGGAAGCAGAGGAGAAGATTGTTAGAAAGACAAAAGAAGCTAGTTCAATACACTCCAGGAATAAAGACACAATCTGCTGAAGTAAAGAGAATCTCTGGTTACAAGGACTCTGTTAAAGAGAGGTGCAGGGTGGGAGAACCTTACCATAGCCATGAACAAACAGTCCTTTAGACATCATTATTCTCTGATTCTGTGCGCACCAAGCAATTTTTGGGTTACTAATTCAGCTTGCCAAAACCTAGGCATACAAAATTAGGAGACTGGTGCCCTGCATAGGAGAATAGCATTTAAATATCTCTATAGGACTCCCACAGGGTAAATCAACGAATTGGCACTCTTTTATACACCACTCTCCTGTAAGTTTCATTGTTAGTATGAGCCAGTCTCCTGAGTCACATTAACTGTAGGACACAGAAAACCTAAGCTTCCAGATGTGAGGACAAGACCTTGAAACATGATGCCTTCACCAAGGTAAGGACATCAAGGTCAGATTTGCCTTGGTGACAGGGCAGCTTTCTTCTGCAGCCCCTTTCCTCCTTTACTTAACCCACTTTGAAATTTTAAAGAAATATACCCAGATTACTTTATGACAGTGTGAAAAAGGTGCCATAAGAACCTTAGTGATGTGGGCAAAGGGATGGTTCAGAAGGAAGGGTTATCACTTCCAACTGATATAATCCAAGAGGGCTCCAGGGAGGAAATGGTTTAGGATTTCCACAAAAAGAGGACATTACAGACAACATGAACAACTGGAACAAAGACAAAAAAGATGGAAATGACTAGAGAAGTTTAAGGAAAAAATGAGTTATTTGACAAGACTGTGCATGAGGTTCTGTAGGAGAGATATTAGAAAGTTGAAGCTAAAGAGAAAGATATTAATGATTGAACAAACCATAACAAATGTTCTTGAACATTCATTTATATGTATATTTGGTCTCTAAAAAGCAACTAAAGAAGACTAATCTCCATTTTTATAGAATGTATAAGGCAACACTCCATACTACCTAATATTTTATAAAAATAAAGCAGAGGCTAAATGCTTTTCAATTAAATTTCAATAAAATTCCCAACTGTTAGAGGTTATAACTAAGTGATCCATGGCCTATGTCTCTCACAAAGTCCACACTAAGTAACATTTTGAGAATAGCTTGGGAATAAAGATATTCAAAGGGCCTCCACAAAGTATGAAAAATAAACAAGCCACAATCAGAAGTACCACTAAATCTAAAACAACTGATATAAATTTAATTAAGTTACTTTGCTGCTAAAAATAAGAAAACCTGGGGCCAGCCCAGTGGCGTAGTGCTTAAGTTCCCACACTCCGCTTTGGCAGCCTGGTGTTTGCAGATTTGGATCCCAGGCATGGACCTACATACCGCTCATCAAGCCATGCTGTGGTGGCATCCCATATACAAAACAGAGGAAGATTGACACAGATGTTAGCTCAGGGCTAATCTTCTTCAGCAAAAAGAGGAAGATTGGCAACAGATGTTAGCTCAGGGCCAATTTGCCTCACAAAAAAAAAAAAAGAAAATGAGAAAAACAAAAATTGGTCAATGGTAATTTCTTCCAGGATGAATGTCTTTTTGTGATATCTTTTTCAACGGCAACTGGAAAAAAATCTTTCATCGTCCAAAAGAAATATGAATTAGACTTGAGACAAACTCAAAAAACTTTCTGCATCAATTTTAGAATGTCATCTGCATAGGAACAGGGAAACCTGCCAGGTTTTTATTCATTGCTATATTGCCAGCCCCTAGAACTGTGCCTGGGATGTAATAGACAGTCATTAAGTATTTGACATGTGAGTAAATGTTCAACCTCTCTCTCCAATTGTCTTTCACATCCAAACCTATACAACCAATTCAAATTAACCCAAGAGAATTCCAACTCCTCCCCTAACCCGTGTGAAAATGTAAAAGAACTATTAAGTTAGGACAAGGGGAAAGCCAGGATCTTTGAATGTGAGCATTACTAGATTATTATAAGTAATTTTTTCAATGCCTGTGTATTTGACAAATTTTTTCAATTTATTCCACAAGTGGTAAATGAAAAGAAACAATGGGAAGGAAGGAAGGGGTGGGGTGGAGGAGGAGGACAGACCGACATGTGGTCATAAACAGCCTGGCAAAGGGATTTTTCTACCTTTGATATTTATTAGCATAGTTTTTTTAAATACTTACCTTTGGCAAAATAATCATATTTTAGCACTTTTGTCAGCAGGATCAAGGGCTAAAATAATACCCATGAGGCAAAATTTAAAAGTCCTATATTTACAATATTCTGAGAACATTTCTGATAAGTATTTATTAAACATGCAGAGGGCTTTGTAAAGAGTATGTCAATATTTCATTATCTTTACAATCTGAATCTTGAACTAAATCTAAAATACATTTTCTGTTGACAGGCTGACAAGATGAAAGAGAAACTCAGGCTGCAGTAACATTAAATATTTCCTTTGGATTATATATAAAGTTAGATGCTTTTAACACCAATTTTCTACCTTTCGTTATAATTTAGGAGATTCTTCAAATGTGGCAACTTATCACAATTAGAACATAACTTCACTAATGAAAACAGATACAGAGGAGGACTGATACATATCTATTTCCAAATGTGTCATCTATGTTTGATCTAATTTGCATCATTATAATTGGAATTAAGCCATTTCCTTTTTATGAAGTTCTTTCCTTTGATTTTTCATATTTTCTCATAATTAACCCATCTGTGCTAGATAAAAGGCGGGCAGGAAATGGTAGCTGCCTAGTTACACACTTCATTCACAGTTACCACGTCATTCATGATTACTACACAACTCTAAATTAACGGAGGCATCACAACTCGACCACATGCGGAGCAGCTAGAGATTTGAAAACCTTTATGGTTCCAAAGAAGAAATATCAGTAATACCTTTTTGCTATACCTTCTGCCAGTTTCACCCCCAAAATCAATGATAATTCACTGTCCCTTCAGAGAAGAAAGGTCTCTTCTGTCTGTAGGAAGGGTTCAATTGCTACTAGAACAAAAACATTTCCAAGTTTCATGGATTCCTGGCTTTGAGGTCCAAATGAAAGAGAAATGAATCCATGGAAATTTCTATATATAATTAGTCATCTATACAATTTATATTATCTATACCCAAACTAGAGTTCATAAAATATTACAATCTTTATATTAAAATTTCATTAAGCAATTCTATGAAACAAAATGAAAGCCCTTTCAATACGGCTTAAAAATAGCAAAGTCACCTCTACTTGTGCTGCCAAATGTGCTTTCTCCTTGTCTTTTCGCTCCATGCACCGCTTCACCTCCTCTAACTCAGACGCCATGGCACTGAAGTTCAACTGCACTCTCAAATCTGACATCTGCTTCTCCAGATCCTCTTTTTCCTGCTCAACCCCTTGAAAGAGAAAATGTAAAGCTTTTGGTTGTTCTTTTATGCACAGGAGAATGTACTTTCAAAGGGTACAAAGCCTTGATGTTTTAATATTCCAGCTGCCATAATTCACTTATTAACACTGTCACTGAACAGACTTTTCACAATTTGCTAGTCTACTGTTTCAAGTCTCACACAGTTTTCTAAAATATATACATTACCGTGTTATCACATTATTCCATTTTGATATTAAAACTTATTTCAGGAAAATCCTACATTTTTTTCTTTAACTTTCCTTAAATCTCGATGTTACCACCAAACTCAAAAACAAAAATACTGAGAGAATTTTCAACTAAGCTACTCCAACTAAAGTTAATGAAATTCACACAATGAAATGCTTTTCTTGCAACATAAACAAATGATGCTATCAAATCTCTGATTGTGTATGACCACTAACCTATTAATTCTGATGATGACTACCTGAAATTACATCACTGAAAAATATAAATTAACTTAGTATTTAATTCAACATGAAATACTTGGTCTATGATGCGAAGGGCACTGTAATACCATCTTCTTCAAAGATAAATAATACAAAAACCCTTTCTCTATGAGTTTGCACTTCAAGAATAAAAAGAAGACATATAAACAAAGTAGTTCCTTGAATCTAGGGCATCAAAAATTGGAATAGATACTATCAATTTAAAACTACTGTTTTTCCAGCAGTGTCCTTTCTTTTCTTGCCAGAAAAGAAAAGAAGGAAGGAAGGAAATAAGACCAAATCAAATTTACAGATCATTCATAAGACACATGCCAACTTCAGAAATATCAAAATGTTCAAAATTGTACATCTTGGGTGAAAGATACAGCAGCATTTTAATAGCATGATAAGAGCACTGATGGATACTATACAGATATTTCTGTATAATGGATATTATAGGATATTACAGATACAGTGATGAACTCTATCTTGGTGAGAAAGTGAGGTAGGAAGAATTGGGAACTAAGTTAGATTTAAAGAATGGATACAAAATTTCACCGAGCAAAGGAGAAGGAGTTGGGGTGATATTTTAGGGAAAGGAAACAGCATAAAGCACAGGAGTACAAAATTGGATTCACCATTCAGGTAACTGCACACACAGTAGCTCACACAGCTAACACACATGAGGGAAGGAAGAGGGAGAGTCATCAGAGAGTTTATGCATTGCTAGGGAGCTTAGAGATTATCCTACAGACCAGGAGTTAGCAAACATTTTCTGTAAAGGTTCAGATAGTAAATATTTTAGCCATATGATGTCCGTCACAACTACTCAACTCTGTCATTGTACTGCAAAAAGTAACCTAGACAGTGCATAAATGAACGGGAGTACCTGTATTCCAATAAAGTTTATTTACAAAAGTCTGTATTTGGCCCATGGGCCATACTTTGCTCACCCCTGCTAGGTCTCCAACCTGAAAATACACACATTTGTTTATGTGTAAATGTATTTATTCCTTTTATAAATATATGTATTCATTCATTTTTATAAATATATATTTTTTATTTTATAAATATACATATGCATGTGTATATAACATATATCTCCATAGTGTATATCTATCTATATATAGATATAGATATGTTTCATAACATATACATTAGTATATATATGTATAAAACAGTATGAATATATCTTATATAAAATATGGAGATATTAATACATATGAATATGTGTATAAATACATATACATAGATGTATATTTTATGAAACATGAATTATATTTGATATGGAGACATAATATTTTGGTATGTTTCATAATATAGTTACATATAAAATATTAGTATGGATACATATAAATATATAGATATAACACATATATACACATATAATGAAACATTTCACAAAATTAAAATACTTATAACATATAAAATATAAATAGTGTTACAAACACTCTCCTCCCACACCCAGAGGATTGTCTCATATGCTCCATTTTGAAGAATGCTTGTTACAAACTGATGGGTCAGTATAGGATAAGAGTTAAGGGCTCAAGTTTGGGGAGAAAAAGATTTGGGTCTGCAACTTCCCATAAACATGACCTTAGGCAAGGTATTTAATCTCTTTGTTCTTCAGTCTTTTTTTTTTTTTAATCATTAAAACAGAAACAAGAACAGTACCCTTCTCATAAAGCAGTTGTAAGAAGTAAAGGAGACAATGTAAAATAAGTAGCATAATGCCTTGTATGTAATAAGAACTCAATAAATTATAATGAGAGGTATAATCAAGAGAGCAACATGAATGGTTTGTGTCTTAGAAGGGAACTTTTAGTAGCAGTATAGAAGAGAGATTACAGAGGAACTAGAAAAAGACAAGTTAAGAGAGTAATACAGGGCCAGCCCCATGGCTTGGCGGTTAAGTGCACGTGCTCCGCTGCTGGCGGCCCGGGTTCGGATCCCGGGCGTGCACCGACACACCGCTTCTCTGGCCATGCTGAGGCCACGTCCCACATACAGCAACTAGAAGGATGTGCAACTATGACATACAACTACCTACTGGGGCTTTGGGGAAAAAAAATAAATATATAAACATTTAAAAAAAAAAAAGGGTAGTACAGATGAGATGAGACATGGCTAAGCTGGGGTAGTGGGAATAAAAAGAGGATGGGGTGAATTCAAGAAATATCAGGATCTATAAATAGAGAGGATATTGGGACAAATTAGATGGAGAGAATAAGAAATAATTTCGGATGTTCTTTGTATTTTAGGCTTGGATATCTGGATAAAGGATGATGCCATCAATTGAGAGAGGAAATAAAAACAGGTTTTGAGGAAAGGATGAATTCAGTTGTAAACTGTTGACTGAGCATTCTGTGAAGAGCATACAGAGATGTCCAATGAGCTACTCCAACTGGAGGACTGAAGGTTAGGAAAGTGAGTGGAGCTCGATGTAGGGTTCATCACTTACAGATGATAGCTAACGTATAAGATTAAATAATAACCCCTAGGGAGAAGTACTAAGTGGGAAAAGCCATAAATAAGATTCAAGACAACACCATCATTTAAAAGACAAACTGTAAATAAAAAGATTCATATGCAAACAATGAAAACAACAGAGGCAGAAGAACCAGGAAAATGTAGGAGCACTGAAGTCAGTGGAAGAGTTCTGAGAAGGAAGAGGAAATAAACAGGGGTCAAGTAAGATAAGTAATGGCAAGATGGCTTTGAATTTGACGGAGGAGACCACTAGCAAACTAAGCAAAGTCAACTTTAGAAGCGCAGTGGAAATCATGTTGCAGTGGGTGGAGGAACAAACAGCAGCCAGAGTGTGACAATGATTGTGATTTCCTATGTAGAATTTTTTTAGTAATACTAGTATTCTATAAAGATGAAAACTCTACAATTGTTAAAAGAAGATGAAGTCCATTATTACCACATTCATAAGAGAACTTGCAGATTTTTTTAAAACCTGGTAAGTAGTTAAGAAAAGTAAGATTCTTCTAGTCCTCAAAAACTTACACCAAAATTAACTAGATTTTACGAGGCAACAAACATATAACAAATGTACCAGAGTCTTTTATGAAACAAAATGAGAGTTCCTATGTGCACCTTTATGAAAATTTAATGAATAATCTAATACCTTACGATTTTACTCTCAGAAATAAATTTTAAAATATTTGATGTCAAAATATATTCAAATTATAACATCACATAAAACTTAAGCAAACTTAGTGGCATGCAAATATATTGGAATAGGTATGTCAGAATTTGCCATCCAGTGAAGATTTTCTGGCAATGTGGAAATTCTAACTCAGACAACATATTGAGTTATGTGTGGGGAATCTGGAGAAATATTTACCTTCCCTGAATTTGACAGTGTATCAAATGCTTACAAGAGTTTCTCCAGTAATTTAGGCATTTGAGTAGGAAGCCTCATTACTGAAATAATTTACAAGCTGAACAATCTGGACTAGTCTATTAGAAACCATAATAAAATCTCAATATCACCATTTCTGTCATCCCTGAACTTTCAAAAAGAAATAAATCCAGAGTTATTAAATTCCACAACCTAAATCAACACCTCCACTTGAAAAGTATTCTTACAATTCTCAAACACAAAGCGTTCCTAATCCACATAAGAAAAAGCCAGTCATATGGTTCATGACCACTTCTGAGATGTGATCAATTTTTGCCACCATTATCCAGATAACAGAAAAGACAGGATCTTAATTTTAATTATTTGTATATACTGAAAATTGGGATAAGAGAAAGTGAAAAACATAGAGGTATTTCAAATTTAAGTGCAAGGACAAGTATACACACACACACATATTTACATATAGAAATAGGAAGCTGGAAAAAAATCCACTACTGGCTTTGCTGGCTCTTTCTGAGAGAAAGCCCTCGGAGATAAGCAGGTCTGACAATTGAAACGGGTTTAAAAAACAAAGCAGAGAAGACATTAAAATTTGATGCTAATATCAGCAACAAACAAGTGAAATTTGAAATTAAAAACATAATGCCATCTACATTAGCATCCAAAAAAATGAAATACTTAGGTATAAATCTAACAAAATCTATATGAAAAAAACTATTAAACTCTGACAAAAGAAATCAAAGATGAATGAAATAATTGGAGAGATATTCCATGTTCATGGATAGGAAGACTCGAGGTCAAAATATCAGTTCTTCCCAACCTAATCTATAAATGCAATCCCAATCAAAATCCCTGCAAGTTATTTTGTGGATATCGATAAACTGATTCTATAATTTTATTTATTTATTTATTTTTCCCCCAAAGCCCCAGTAGATAGTTGTATGTCATAGTTGCACATCCTTCTAGTTGCCGTATGTGGGACGCGGCCTCAGCATGGCTGGAGAAGCGGTGTGTCGGTGCGCACCCGGGATCCGAACCCGGGCCGCCAGCAGCAGAGTGCGCGCACTTAACCGCTAAGCCAAGGGGCCGGCCCAATAAACTAATTCTAAAGTTATTAGGAGAGGCAGAGGATCTAGGATAGTCAAAGTAATATTGAAGGAGAAGAACAAAGTTGGAGGACTGACACTATTCAACTTCAAGACTTACTACAAAGCTACGGTAATCAAAACGCTGTGGTGCTGGCAAAAAAATAAATACATCAATGGAACAGAATGTAGGGCTCAGAAATAGACCAACATAAAAATAGTCAACTGATCTTTGACAAAGGAGCAAAGGCAATACAATGGAGAAAAGACAGTTTTTCAACAAATGGTGCTGGAACAACTTGACACCCACATGCAAAAGATGAATCTAGACAAAGACCTTGCACCTTTCACAAAAATTAATTCAAAATGGATCACAGACCTAAATGTAAATGCAAAATTATAAAACTCTTAGAAGATAGGAGAAAATCTGGATAACCTTGAGTTTGTCAATAACTTTTTAAATACAACACCAAAGTCACAATCCATAAAAGAAAGAACTGATAAGCTGGACTTCATTAAAATTAAAAATTTCAGCTCTAAGAAAGACATTGTCAAGAAAATAAAAAGACAATCCACACACTGTGAGAAATTATTTGCAAAGACATATTTGATAAAAACCTATTATCCAAGAGTCTTAAGACTCTTGGATATAAGAGTCTTATACAAAAGACTCTTAAAACTCAAAATAAGAAAACCTGACTAAAAAATAGTTCAAAGACTTTGCTTAACAAATATCTCACCTCAGGGCCGGCCCCGTGGTGTAGTGGTTAAGTGCGTACACTCCACTGCTGGCGGCCCGGGTTCGGATCCCAGGCACGCACCGATGCACAACTTGTCAGGCCATGCTGCGGCGGCGTCCCACATAAAGTAGAGGAAGATGGGTACGCATGTTAGCCCAAGGCCAGTCTTCCTCAGCAAAAAAGAAGAGGATTGGCATGGATGTTAGCTCAGAGCTGATCTTCCTCACAAAAAAAAAAAAAAAACTCACCAAAGAAGATTAGACACATGGCAAATAAGCATACGAAAAGATGCTCCACATCATATGTTATCAGGGAAATGCAAATTAAAACAACAAGATACCACTACAAACCTATTAGAATGTCCAAAATCCAGAACACTGACAACAGCATATGCTGACAAGGATGGGGAACAACAGGAACTCTAATTCATTGCGGTGGGAATGAAAAATGATATAGCGACTTTGGAAGACAGTTTGGAAGATTCTTACAAAACTAAACATACTCTTACCACACTATCCAGCAACTGCACTCTTTGGTATTTAGGCAAAGGATATGATGCTATGTCCACACAAAAATTTGCACACAGATGTTTAGTTTATAGTAGCTTTATTCAACCGCCAAAACTTGGAAGCAACCAAGATGGCCTTCAGTAGGTGAATGAATAAATAAACTATAGGACATCCAGGCAATGGAATATTATTCAGTGCTTACAAAAAAAAAAGCTACCAAGCCCTGAAAAGACATGAAGAACCTTAAAGGCATATTACTAAGTGAAAGAAGCCAATCTGAAATGGCTACATACTATATGATTCCAACTATATGAGATTCTAGAAAAGGCAAAACTATGGGAACAGTAAAAAGGTAAGTGGTTGCCAGGAATTGGGAGGAGAGGAGAAACAGGTGGAGCATAGAGCACTTTTAGGGCAGTGAAACTACTCTATGACACTATAATGGTAGGTACACGTCATTATATATTTGTCCAATCCCATAGAATGCACAATACCAAGAGTGAATCCTAACGTAACATATTGACTTTGGATGATTATGATGTGTCAATGTAGATTCATCAGTTATAACAAATGTACCATTCTGGTGGGGGATGTTGATAACAGGGGAGGCTATTTTTGGTGGGAGCAGAGGGTATATGGGAAATCTCTGTACCTTCTGCTCAATATTGCTGTAAATATAAAACAAAAATAAAGTCTGTTTAAAAAAAGTTGGATGCTAAATGATGATGATCTTGTTGGGAAACCTGGTAGTAGATCAAGAAATAGACAGGATGACAAGAGCACAACATAAGGAAAGCAATTCTGAAAATGGGAAGTATTTAAGAAAGATTAAAAAACCCATACATTTACAAATCAGAACTATACCTCTCCTAAACCTCCAGTCATCTCCTTGTTCATCCTGATGGTTTGACTCTTGCTTGGAAATCTGAGATACTTGATGTTGTAAACCCTTTCGATCACCTTCTGCTTTCATAAGTTGTGTACGGAGTTCTTCTACCTAAATACATATAGTCAAAAATGAAAATTTTCTCAGTTTTAAAAGCAGGAAAAGAATAACCGAACTTACAAATTATTACAAAATATCCTTCTAGGGAAAAAGATTTTACTTCTAATGGGCTATTGTAAACACAAGTTGAAACCAAATTAGTCTTCTTGTTATGCCAAGCCCAGTGGAATAGTCTCTTGCTCCATTTCTTTACTCCTCCCATTCCTTCCACACAGAATAAATGTCTTTTCCCGTTCTCTGTGTCTATTATGACAAAGAATCTGCTCACATTTAAACAAAATCCCTTATTTTGACCTTAGTCGACTCTATTAACCCAAACCACCTTCAATTAAGTATTACATGTTTTTATATTTTTCACTTATTTTCTTTCATGTGAACATGGTGTATTGGTTGGTAAACTCAAGTGAAATGATCATGATTTAGCATGTCTTAATATCAAAGTACTGCTCAAAATAAATAAGCAACAAATGCTGCTGAATAAACTATAAACATCCTGAGGTCACGGACTATTTTATTCATCTTTGTATTTCTAGAGACTAGCAAATTGCCTAGCACATAGCAGGTATGTCTCCAATGACCATTACACAAGGAAGTAGTGGCAAAAAGACTCAGCTAAAGACACAATGACAACCTGAACACAGAAGTCTCTTACTTCAAAAAACGAGATTAGAAATTACAAGTCAGAGTCCCCCCAAAAAATCAGAATGGAATTGAATACAAATATAAACTTTCCAAGAAAGGAACTCTGAACTCTGCCAACATTAATTCCATTGGACGACTGGCTGCAGAAGAAAGCCAATGAACATTTTTAAAGGTTTTGTAAAACAGGTGCTATGGTGTATTTTCAGCACTGATTGTCAAAATCTAATACTCCTTCTGAACATCTATGATGCCTGACATCTTTGCCAACCTAGCATATTATGTAGTGAGTTATGTAACCCACACCTCAAAACAGAGGAAGGTGCAATTGCAGTTTATACTGAACTCAGGCAGAATGGCAGTTAGAAACTCACATGCCCTTATCCAATGTATGTAAGATGGCTATTTCGAGTTACTGAACTTTAAATATCAGAAGCACCAAACTCCCATTATGAGCTAATGGGCTGCAAAACGTTATGCTTTAAAATTAAGCCTTCTCTTTGGTTAAAAAGGGAGCAGGCAGCATTTTGAAAATGTGAATATAAGACAATGATGCATCCAGAGTAACTTGAACATGTAAAGGTCTGTTTTATGTATTTTACTTCCTCCTTCACTCTCCAATGCCTCCTTGAATAAAATTAAGCTCCTGGGAAAATTTTATCTTACACATCCAGTCTTACTTTTCCACTGGTTATGCTGAGAGAGATAAGTCCTAAGTTGGAGCAGCAATCAGCAAGATACACTCTCCCAGTGGGAACTTGGGCTGGGGTTTTGTACTAGCTTTCTCTGAATCTTCCTGAAAGGATTTCATCTTTTGCTTATGTGCATTAATATACATTCCTTAGGAAAAAGTTTTTCTAGACCTAGTTTTTTTTTCCTTTCACAAACACATTTAATAGAGAAGGAGACTCAATCCTTATTTAATTTAAAAGTAGATTATCATAGCTTGCATAGACTTACCTGATGCAAAAGTGTTTCTCTGCTGCCTTCAGACTGATTCAATAACTTTCGAGATAGCTCCAATTCCTGTTCAAGCTAGAGTTTCAACAAAGGATAAAGAAAAATGTCCAATGGGGCAGAAGATAACTAATCGATTATGGGCGCAGTTTAAGAGGAAAAATGTGGAAACATTTTCAGAAGATATTTATAGCTAACATGAAAGAATAAATATCTTGTTATAAACAAACATTAATACTTCCATTAAAGTAATGTTGATTGCATAACATAAAGTGAACCAGACCAGACCTCAGGAGGTCTCAGTTCTCCAGCCAGTTCCATCTCAACTGTGACCCTGTTTAAATCTCTTCTCTTGAGGCCTCCATTCCATCATCTCTAAAATAAGGATTTTATATTACGCAATCTCTAAGATTCCTTTCAGTTCTTAATCATTTTAATCTGAATTCTAAAGCAATTTTTTCTTTAAATTAGTACATAGAGTATCATATGAACTGAATTACAATAAAACTTCAGGGACTCAATGACTCAAAGTATATTTCATTCAATCGATGATTTCATATATTAATATGTTATAGTCCCAATATTCATAACACTCCTAAAATTTTTAAATATCTAAGTACAGAATAAGACATTTAAAATTTCCCTAATAATACTGCCATTAGATGTACATCCACGGAAAACATGCTAGTTAGGTGACTAAATACCCTACAAAATCTGACTGTGCCTAGCTTATTTCAAGTTGAAAAATATAATAGGACAGGAAATAGGTTTGTTAAAAATCCAGAACTTACATACGCTAAACACGTTTGCATTTTGTAACAATAAGGTTGTTTTATGAAATCACAAATTTATATTAAGATGTTAAGTGCTTAGATTTGTAATAGTTATTCTAAATTAGCATTTCACTTTGACAAACTATCTGTATATTAGTCCTCTAAAAATGTACATGTGGTAGGTATGGCTATCAAGGAGTAGCATGAGGGAGCATTATGGTGATGGAACAGTTCTCTATCTTGATTGTGGTGGTGGTAACATGAATCTACACATGAGATAAAATTGCACAGAACTATACACACACATGCACTCAACACACAAATGAGTGCACATTAAGCTGGTGAGATCAGCATAAACTCTGTGGATTGTAACGATGTCTTTTTTCTTGGTTTTGATATTAGATGGCAATTATGCAAAATGTTACCATTGAGGCAAATGGAGTGAAGGCCACATGGGACCGCTCTATAATTTTGTTTTGCAACACTTTATGAATCTATAATTATTTCAAAATACATTTTTTAACCCAGTTATACAATTTTTTAAAAACTATACGTGTGGCTCATAAAAAAAAGTCATCTTTTTAAAAACGTAAAGTATATATGGAATCACAGAATCCACACAAAATAGTATCAGACCTATTCTCTTCTTTCTATGGAGAAATAAAGATGGAAGAAATCATACACCAGTCAAAATGGTTTTGAAACCTACCAAGGCCCATATCGGTCACAATGCCTGGGTAATATCAGCAGTCTCAACTCCCAGCAGGCAAACTTGATGACCTGACATACCTTGCTCACCATAAAGGCAGCATGGATGCATCATTTAACTTTACATAGGTTGGTGAAAGAAAATAAAGGAGGTAATGGTAAATAGAAAAAGCAATATGGAGCAAAGAACATTACATCAGGGGCAAATTTTCACTTTATCATTCATTACCTTGGGCTCATCCTTAAAACTACTCATTTGCAAACTGAAGAGAGTTGTTTGGCCTTTGAATTAATTTCTAGCTGTAAAGTGCTAGGCTGTATAGGTTCACAGATGTGACTATATGTCAAAGGTCCTTAATATTTACTGGGAATAGAGGATTTTTCAGAACCAGGCTGCGAACTATGCCTATTTTATATAGTGAAAATGAATGTATCCAAAATACCTAGCCTTTAAACAACAGGTCTTTCCTAACCCTGCAGCAAAGTCAAGCTCTTTAAATGTTCTCCAGCAAGGAACGGTAAAGTTTAATACACATCTTGAAAAGGAGAGTGACCAGAAGACAAGGTAGCAAACGACCTGTATAGTAGTCCCCCTTATCCACAGGGGATACATTCCAAGACCCCCAGTGGATGCCTGAAACCACAGATAGTATTGAACCTTATATACTCTATGTTTTCTCCTAAACATACACACCTATGATAAAGTTTAATTTATAAATTAGGCACAGTAAGAGACTAACAATAATAACTAATAATAAAATAGAATAATTATAACAATATACTGTAATAAAAGTTACCGTAGATGTTAGTAACCTCAGCATATGATTTTTGTTCCTTCCTTATTCAGTTGAGAACTTTCACCTTTTCACTTAAAGCATGCACTTTATGGCTTCTCTTTGGCATATCTGAATTGCCAGCATCACGATTCTTGTGCTTTGGAACCATTACTAAGTAAAATAAGGGTTACTTGAACACAAGCACTGCGATGCTGCGATAGTCAATCTGATAACCGAGAGAGTCACTAAGTGACTAATGGGTGAGTAGCGTATAGAGCATGGATACACTGGACAAAGGGATGGTTCACATCCCGCACAGAGCGAGACAGCGAGAAATTTCATGACGCAACTCAGAACACAATGGCAATTTATGAGTTATGAATTGTTTATTTCTGGATATTTCCATTTATTATTTTCAGACTGTGGTTGACTGAGGGTAACTGAAACTCTAAAAAGTGAAACTGTGGGTAAGGGGGGACTACTGTACATGTTTCCAAGAGCAAGTAGTAGAGAGTGGCAGAACCCTTGAACCAAGCGACTCCACATCAAAACATAAAGGCTTTGCCGTGTTCCAACAAGTGATCTCAGGGACACTTTTCAAGGCACTCAATGAACATCACTGGCCCCAAACAGCCCCAAATAATCACTCTTTGAAAGATAACTTGCAAAATCTTACTTGACTCTTCTCAGTTTCAGTTTGTTTTAGCTTATTTTTCATGACTCCCTCATCCTCATCAGCTTTAGCTTCCTGTTTCTTTAATGCCTAGAATGAAAGAGGTGGGAAAATACGTATTATTCCAAAATATACGTAAAACTGAAAGACACTACTAAGATTTATTAAGAAAAGGCTAAGGAAGATGATTACGAGTTGTACAAAATATATAGAGGAATTACAACCTGCTCACTCACTGAAGTCCTAAGATCACTTCATTGGGGATCAAATATAAACAACTTACCAATCTTCCTAATCAATTTCCACTTAGTTTCACTTTTTCCCATCTTTGGGAATTTTGTTACACATTTAGAGTATAGACAGCTAACAGTTTTCTTGGAAACAAAAAAAGCTTACTGCCTGCTGAAATAACAGTATTTAAAAGTTATATTACCTCCTGAATTACTTAGACATAACACCAAAAACTAGCTCACTAGTTTTTCAAATTCTGAAAAAATGTGTCATCAAGATAGAAACATGCTTGTTGCATCATGATTGCATATATGACATTTTATTTGAAGAAAGCATTCTTTTCTACATCTTTCTCTCCTTAATAAAATGGAAAAAAGAACTTTAAGAAAATACAAATTTTAAAAGTTAATCACAAAAGAGTTTGTTTTAGTTTGTTTCTATGTTAAAATTTAAGGAAAAAATTTTATATTTGGAGCAACCTTTCATAACATCTAAAAGGCATTCCATTAAAAAAAATTTTTTTTGACAATTTTAGCATTTAGACTTAGCAAGGTGTATGTGTAAAGGTCATCTAAACTGAGAAAAGCCAAACTGCCAGAAGTCTTCTCCAACAAGATCTATGCTATGGTGCTCAATGGAAAAACGATTTTTAGGCAAACAGCAAAACATATTAAAAACTATTTTGATGCAAGTATAATCAATCGTATTCAATTTCATTAACATACATACCCAAGAAATATCTCCTAAGTGCACTTACTAGGTGCCAGGCACTGTGCTAGGGTCTACTAATGTACATATATATATAAAATAAACATGGCCCCCCATCCATGAGATTACACCTCCCTCTGCCATGGCTCCTACTCTCACTAATAAAAAGTAATTGAGTAAAAAAGCAGAGACATATCATCAACATGAAAAATAAATTTGATTTGAGTATAATAATAACACTTTTACAGTGTTTACTATATCCAGACATTCTTCTTCTTCTAACATGTATTAAATAAATACATTACCTATATTGAATACATACATTTAATCTTTATGATAATTCCATGAGTTATTATTAAACCCATTTTATTAGGAGGGAAATTGGGGTTCAAGGAGTTGAATAACTTGCCAAAGGTCATTCACTTAGTTCATGAAAGAGACAGAACATAGACTCAGGCTGTCTGCCTCTTAACCATTGAGTGGCACTACTTCTCCATGTTGAAATAATAATATCAACCTTACAGGGTGGCTATGAAGACTAAATAACTGATCTTTGTAAAGCACTAAAATGTACAATAAAAGACAACTATTAGGATTACTAAACTGTTAACTTTGATAAAGTATTAAGAAACAATCCTTTTCAGGTAGTTATCAAATTGTAGAGTAAATGGAATTTGTAATAATATTTAACTCTTTGTACATAATCTATTCAATTTTGGCTAGTGGGATGTGTTTAAAAATTTTTTCATCAACAAAATTATCCTAGAAACTTGAAAATTACTGCTGGCATCTTTATTCTTTCCATGCTTCCTTGGTCTACCCCCACCCAGAGCGTGCCTGCGTGCGTGTGTGTGGTTGCACGCGCGTGCGTGTGTAAGAGAGAGAAAAATATGAAGAAAAATGATATAAAGAAATTGTTGCTACATTTTTAATCAATTCATTTTATAAAATTTTGAACTATCTTATTCCTCAACATCATCATTGCAACCTAGCCCTACTTTTTTCTTATGAAATTGGTTACCTTTTCAATACTTTTTCATTGAACTAAAAACCAGCCTGGGCTTTTCCACAGAGGTGAGATTATGAGGAAGACTTCCTCAGGCAGTTGATAAATTTCATCAAACTACAGTCATGCGCCACATAACAATGTTTCAATCAGCAGCAGACTGCATATACAGTGGTGGTCCCATAAGATTACTACAACATAGCCTAGGTACGTAGTAGCCTATATCATAGGGGTCTGTGTAAGTAATGTAGGGGAGGAAGAAATTTTCCTCTACCTTTCTAGGTTCTTCTGGCTGGTCTAAGAAGTAAATTGACATGGGACAGATTAAGAAGAGAAAAACAAACAAAAGTTTAATAACATGCACACATGAGAGAAACCCAGGAAAACCAAAACGGCCAAAGCCCTCACCTTAAATACCATCCTCAGCTAAAGACAAAAGAAGATATTAGGGGTGGGGAAAGTTAAGGACCTCAGAGGGAAGGAAGGCAATTCACAGGTAGGTGAAAAGGAGCAAACAAACATTTGGAATACAAGTGTTTGTCTGGCCAAACAGAAAAAGAAGAAGACAGAGGGGAGCCCAACAAACAGGCTCCCTGTCTACCACCTAGTTCATGTTATGCTAAGGTGATAGCTTGCTTCCTGAGACAGGTTTTTTTAATCTGAATTCTTTTAGGCAGATAAGGGGGAGATAACAAGAAAAACTTTGAGTCTTTTGTTTCTTAAAAATAATCAGCCTAAAATAATCCTCATGTTAAAGAGACAAATTTTTTTCGTGTTCAGTACACTCTATGATGTCCACACAACAACAAAATCGCCTAATGATGTACTTTTCAGAAGATATCCCCATCGTTAAGCGACACATGACTATAGAAGTTAGTTTAATAAAGGAAGTGAAGAATAGCAAAGGAGAATTAGTAATACTAGTTTAGTTTAGTGCACCCGTTATTGTTGATAACCCATTAGTTTAGTTTAGTGCACCCATTATTATTGATAGGCTTTGATTCATAATCAAGTATTTGTCGCAGCCTCTAACGAAGACTCTTCCAAAATCACACCAAAATACATAACAAGAAACCTATCAAGATTAAAATAGCAATAATGCTAAAAACCAAAGACTAACAGGTAACCTAATGCTGAAATCTAGAATTAAACTCCACAAACATAAGGTAGGTGAAACTGAATGGAGGAAAATTGAATCAGGCTTCACTTCATTAATTAGAGACCTCCTAAAAAGAGGTAGGAAGACACTTTTGCTTACCCCTCAGTAATAGTCAGCCTACACTTCTGGACTCAAAGTCCTGAGCAGAAGCCACTCCAAATGAGTATGCAGTAAAGGCTCACCCAAGCCAGGTAAGGTCACTTGAGGCCATAAACTACTTCAAATAAGAAGGGCTTGTCCCAAAGGTAAGAACCATTCCCTTCCAAAGCTGAGTTCAAAATCTAACTCAGAAGACTCTGCAACCTTCAACCAGTAGTTGCTAAGATCCTTCGCATGTGATTTTGTGCATCTCTTCTTGTTCCAGATTGTTTCCACCTCTGTCCTCTGCTTACTGAGGTAAGAGACACAGAAGGAGTCACCTGCTAAGCTTTTAAAACTTGATTTAACCTCATGCTGCAACTTTAAGAGATTAATTTAAGAATTTAAACACCCGAAATTCTCCAGGGAAGAAATTTTTCCATTTTACTAACTGGAATTAATCCATTTCTGTCCCTTTCTCATGAGTTCCAACTTACATTTTAAAAATCCTATAAAATTTTACATCAAAAAAACAAGAAAGATATATTAACGTTTCCCAAGTGTTCACATAACTTATTTTGATTAAACACATTAAAATATATCTAATTCATTTATATGCTTATTTTTACTTACCTACTTAGACATTCAAAATAATCCTTGTTTTATCCAGAGGCTTATCTTTCCAAAGAGTAATACAAAAGCTTTGGTGTCACTATGGTGTAAGCTTCAGAAGGCCAGGGACCTCATCTGTCATGATCACATTTTATTTCTAACAGTATTTGGCACATTTTAGGTGGTAAACATATGTTGTTGAATGGATGAATAAATATCCTTTTATAATCTCTGAATAACAACTTCACTTTCCAATTGACCACCACCATTCATACATGTAAGTTTTCCATATTTCTCCCACCTTTCTTAATCACCATGTTTTCTCAACCATCAAGTTGTCTTTCTTTCTGGAAAAACAATTATGGTGTAGTGATGTTGGAAAATAAATATTTATTTTTGGGTTTAAGTCAAAGAGTTAATACCTTTTCCTGTTTTCACAAGTCATCATTTTAGTCTTTTCTTTACAAAAAAATCTGCTGAATGATTTTAAGCCTTAATTTTGAAATAATTTAGGCTTACAGAACAGTTGTAAAGACAGCTCAGAGTTCCCATATACCCTTTGCTTTGCTTTCACTAAAATTAACATCTTATATAACCAAGGTAGGTTTTTCAAAACTAAGACGTTAACATTGTTACAAAACCATTAAGCTACAAATGTTATTCAAGTATCAAATGCTATTTTTTTGTGTCCAGATCCAATCAAGCACATTGTGGGGCAGCTTGTTTCTTCAGTCTCCTCTGATCTATGAAAGTTTCTCAGTCTTTCCTTGTTTTCATGATCTCAACATTTTTGAAGAGATACTTCAAGCATCTTCAGATAAGGCATTTTGTAGACTGTCCCTCAGTTTGTGTTTTTCTCATGTCTTCTCATGATTAGACAGGGCTCATAAATTTGGAGGAGAATATCACAGAGGTAAGTGCCCTTCTCATTGCATCACATTGTAGGGTCACAACATCAACATGACTCACAACTGGTGATGTTAACCTTGATCGCTTGATTAAGGTAAGGTGTGTCTGCCAAATTTCCCTACCATAAAGTTAACATTCTTTCCTTTCCATACTCTATTTGTTAGAAGAGAGTCACTAAGTCCAGCCCATACTCAAAAGGGAGAAGAATTAAGCTCCACCTCCCAGAGAGAGGCTATCAGAGAATATATGAAAATATATTAAAAAACAGTAAGTAATTAACAAATATTTTGGTAGATACTTTGAGGCCATGCATGTATCCTTGAAGATGCACCCACCAGTTTTAGTTCAAAGTCAGACCAACTATAACACTATCAGTTCTTTTTCGGC